TGCTTGTCAAATTCTGAGGTCAATTATATTTAATTGTAATTTATACTTTCTTTTTTTCCCCTTCATTTTATTTTTCGTATCGAGAAGTCGAGGTTTTGTTGATTTCTTCGGATTTCGATTACTGGAACTTCTCTTCTATTCGGCCGATTTTTATGAATGAGGTCTCTTTTTATTTGTGTTTTAACGGAGAGTAAGGAAAAAAGTACTAAATACACGCGAAACAATTTTTTTTGAAAATTGGACGAATCCTAGCGTGACGGTGAAATGGTTAATGAAGCGTGAGTAATTGGGGTACGGGTATCGGCCGCGTTGGGACCCAAGGCGGCCCAGGGCCCATTGTTCTTCGTGACGCCGACGCAGTGATCAGGAGCGTGGGGACGAGAGGGCTGAGTGGACTCCTGTATGAGCCAGGTTTAGCAAATGGTCTAATGAGTCTTGAGGCTCATCACAGATTGCACTTACCACTATCCTGCTGGCCCCGGCTATCAGAGCAAGGAGTACCAACTTTTGAAAAGGATAACAGTGGTGTGGAGATATGTCAAAGCAACGTTTTGAACAAAACGGAGTGAGTGAAATTCTCATTCAAGTAGTGCCGAACTGGTCAGCCATCCTCGAATCAGTTCGCTTGCTTCCGCTTATATATGCATATTTTAAATCAGCGCGTCGTACTCTTAGGCTTTTTTTTAAAAAACCAAGTAACGTAGACTCTTGGTATTCACTGCACATAAACTAGCGAGCCCCAGAATGAGAAACAACTTTAAATCATAATTATTGACGGATAAATAAACTTTTTACACGCTTTGGAAAATCTCAGAAGTTCGCGGTAGTCACTTTTCGGTAAGGAACTAAGGGACTCGGTTATTGTATCGAGCAGGGTTCGAAACGATCGCAAAGGCGGTATACTACGTATACGCGCCAAAATTATCATACTGCTGAGATAAGGAAAAACGCTGTATGAACCTTCAGACGCTGCCAAATGTTTCATAGTAGGATATGAATTTTCAAGAAAATTTGTAAATATTTTTCATCTAGACTTTCTGATAATTTGATTTGCAATTAGATCTAAATTATCTGAAAATTTCCAAAGAAAAATTTCATTACTCTCTTCAAGATTGAATGTTTTATCTGAGGAAATTTGGCAACTCTCCACAGATCATACAGCGTTTTCCCTTAGCACGGCAGTATATCACCCTTTATTTTCTTTGGTTTTATTTCTTTGTTTTGCTCGTTTTTTATTTTTATTATTTCTTACTAAGAGAGGTAGGGAACTTTTATAAGCTATCCGCCTCACCCAATACCTGAAGCAAGTATCGCTCGCAACGCGAATCCTGATCCTGTGGCGTGAATGATCGATATATTCCCATTTGAAACTATGGCAAATAATCGATTATCAAAATATTTGTTGCGAACACCCTGCTTATCGATCCTTTTCCATAGGTTTAAATGGCAGATCAATCGATATACCGCAAAGCACGCCACGCCACTGTCCTGACCAGGGAATACTCCGCAAGCTCCACTCCACCTGCGCAAGAGTCCGTCTGCCGCGGGCCCGTCTCCGTCGGTGGGGTGGCGTGTTTTGCGATCTATCGATATTTCCCCATTTGAAGCTTTGGTAAATAATCGATTATTAAGGTGTTCGCTGCGAACACCTTGTTTATCGATACTTTTCCACAGGTTTAAGTAGCCGATCAATCGATATATCGCAAAGCACGCCACGCCACTGGTCTCCGTAATCCCGAAAACCGGAAGCCCCGTTCCGAACCGGGGAAAGCGCCCCGGGAAAAGGGGGGAAAAGGGGGAAAGAGCGGGAAGAGCGATAAACAAAACAAACAGCGGTCTACGAGCGAGGATTAGACCGGCCCGGGGGTGGGGGAGGGGGAGGAGGGGTGTTGGAAATGGAAACGGCCCACGAATAAGCTTCAACGCTCCGATCAGCATGAAAATGACGCGGGCGCAAAAAACCAATTTCACTCCTCGTTACCCCCGCGTGTTCGCGCCGAGAGGGTGCCACGCGGGCGGGGGCGCCTCGCGGAAAACGGAGGGATATCCGCGTCTTGAAACTGTCGAATGGCAACCCTGCTTCTTGTACCTCACGCCTTGCAGCCGCCGTTTGATGCCGCCCCGAGGAAACGATCCGGACATTGAAATAAGTATCGCTTCGTGCCGATATTGAAATCTATTCCGTCTTTATGTCACGGACCACGGTAAAGGGACCTCCGCACCGGGCACTGAAAATCCAGCAGTGGCGTGGCGTGCTTCTCCTCGTAAAAATTGGCACTAGGAGCTGCGTCTTAAAATACTATACACTGAAAAAAACACATTGGATCAAGAGTCCAGACTCTTGAAAACAATGGGAAGAAAAAGGACTCTTGATTCAATCAGATTTAAGCTTAAATCAAGAACCAAGCCTCTTAATTTGAGCGGATTTCCTTTTGATTCAAGCTTAAATCTGATTGA